GTTGAGTAATGTGATGTGCATCACCTAAAAAAATCATAATAATAATATTCAGAAAACAATGGTTATAAATAATAAATAACCTGCCCATAGTAGTTCAAAAGTTTTAGGTATTAAAAGCAACCTGACATCCCATAGCCACGAACCTCTGCATAAATTTTTGCTCCTCAGTTTTTGGCATGCTCTGGTTCCTTCATTAGAAAGGAAATTAAAAGAGGGATTTAAAAATTGGCAAAATGCCAAGCCATTAAAAGCCTTTTTGTCGTGAGTTTAGATTGAGACTGAAATTAGAACATAGGCATCACTCAACTCACCTCTCATACCAGGACACCAAAACCTTCGCCAATCTTGAGCTCAAATATCAAGTTACATATCAGGAAAACAAATGGCAGGCAACAAAGATTTTATTTTATTTTTTGACAAAAAAAAAAAAAGAATAAAATTACAGAAACCCATCTCAATCACAATCAAAAGGCCTTGAAGCTTCTAGTGGTGAAGAATTGTATTTGTAGTCAAAGTCCTAGACCTATAATTCAAAACAGAATCATTATCAGCTGAATAGAATACCAAACAAATAAAACATATATTACAACATTCAAAACTAGAACAAGAAAAGGTAAAATTAGCAACTTTAATAAAAGGATTCTAGAAAAATTATTAGTAAGTCTAGGCTGAAATCCCCAGAGTTCCAATCACTACAGTGGCAAGAGCCCTTTTATAAAAATCACCAAGGGTTGTTTTTGAGTTTCCTGGTCAAAATACTGTTCAAGAATCTAAAGAAAGGTACAAATAACGTATTTGAAAGAAATTTTCTTAGTTAGAAACATCATATGATTTTGGTTAATAACGACCTGAAAAATCCAGCAATTCATAAAGCATCAATGCTGGACTCTGTGCTCCCAGCAACTGTAACATCTGAATCCCCAAACTGAATCATTCTAGTAGCATCACCAAACTGAATCATTCTAGTAGCATCACCAATGGTTTGGTCCCTATATTCAAAAACATGACTACACGGTGCAACAGCAACTTTTCAAAAGCTATCACAACCATGGTAGAACTGGTTTTGTCCATGTATGACGAGGACTGATTCAGCAAACTAAGTTTTTCTTTTAAGAATATCATCCACCTTATAAAAGCATTAGTTAAGAAATTGAAACAAGGAAGCATGAGGTAACAGCTTCTTGCTGCCAGCCTTGTTCTGGGTTTTCCTTATTCTTGATTGAGAGTCCATTACCAGATTTGTGCATTATTGCAGGAAATTTCCATAATTAATCCACATTTCATGTAGCTAACAAAATCCAGACAACGTCTAATGACTAACATTTGAAATTCATAATTTATATTGTAGAACCACAAAAGCTCTATTCCAAGCTCAAAAGGGTTATTTAATAAAAGTGAACGTAACAGGGGACTGAGATCACTAGGAAATTGAGTCTCCTTTCAACAAGTTACTGCAAGCAAAGTACAGCAGCACAAACTAGCTGCATGACTGGCTTAAAGTTGTCATAAGCTCCTGAAAATATAACATTTAAAGGTTACATACACACCTGGAATCCATATTTATGCTCATGTGACGAGAAGCCATGATGATTAATATCCTTGGAATGAAGAATGGACTAAACTGACAAAGGCACTGTATTAAAAGAGCAGATCTTTCACTTGTCGCTTCAACTGTTTACATGGCCAAGTAGCATAATTTCAAGCCAATAGCTAATGTAGGGGGAACTGCAGAAGATGATGAAGACACAAAAAAATATGATAGTAGCAATAATCATAATTAAATTGAGTATCATGATAAAACAACCTTTTCACATATCATTTGTGCTGCATCTAATATATCACTGATGCCCCAATCCCTCCACTAATGGACACCCCCTGCTTTTAGCAAATTTATTAAATTCTGAAAGAGAAAAGATAAAAATGACATAGAAGTAAACAAAGGACTACCGTTCTTTCCTTCTCTTCCTGCTCAGTGGGCGGCCATCTTGCATCTTTTAAAGCTTCATCACCTGCACAAAGAGCATAGGCAACAAACCTTGCAATTGATCAATGCTCCTGAGAAAAAAAGATTGCTGTTGATGACACAAGGAACTAATAACCTGCATAAACTCGATCATTTCATTATACTTGGTAAGCCTCAAAAAAATTAAAGTCAACAGCTAATCATGGAATACAAGTCATCCGGCAAGGTATTGGACACTGCACATGTATCTAAACTAAATTAAGTATATTGGCATTTCACCACCAGACAACTAGAAGTACTATCACTGCGAAAGATGCAAAGGATGTCCCTTTCTTATTCAGACCGCTGAAGGACATGGAAAGCCATGGTAATCTTACAGTCGGTTTAAGGTCAAGCTTCACCTAATTTCCATCAGCAATATGACAGCTAAAAACTCAACTCTAAAACCACTTGCATTTGCAACTTCAATCACGAATTTCCTAAGGATTAAAAAGCTCTAATTTCTATCTAAACTCTTATATCCCCAAACCGGAGAAATTCTACCATAAAAAAATCATTGAAGTAACATCCATTTATATGCCGATAAACAGAAACTCAAGACTCATATCAGGATATTACCTTTGAATTAAGCCACAATTCCTCATTGAAATCACCGGAGCCCATTCCACACGGCACAGTTGCCGCAACTTTAGAAGTCAGCTGATCAAATATATGCAACTCAGTCTCTCTATCAAAAGCACCCATCTTGAGATCTTCAGGCGTTATCGCCCTTATCCCACAATTGCCCTCTATCAACCGCTTCCATGTCGTT